AGAATTATTTAGCTAGGCAAAGGAGGGGCTTGGTGGGAGTACTCATGGCAGAGGGGACAACACTTACAAATGTTCTGAGTTGGGCAACACTTGTGAATATTCTGAGTCCTTAATAACTCATGAATTCTAAACAGTTTTTAAGATATCCTGCTAATAAACCTTTATCATTAAATTTCAGGAAACGGGAGCTCCCATCCTCACTGATGACGTTAGCTTGCAGGTATTCATGGATCATTTGAAGAAACTGGCAGTCTCCAGTGCCTCTTAAGCTGGGTGTGTTTGCTGGAAATTAAAAAAAAAACAAACAAACCCATGTCAATTGTGTTCATAATTGTTTATAAAGGCTTAATAACATTCCTTTTACTCTTCTTGTGGATTTAAATAAATAATCAAAGGAAGTGTTGTATGTAACTCTTTATAATTTATTTGTTTTTCTTATATGTGCCCCTTTTCTTGCAGCAAATATTTTGGTACTTAGAAATGTTTATATGCTTTTTTGTATCCTAACTTTACAGTCTATGTAAAAGCAGAGGTAATGTATTTTAGATGAAAACTATAATGGTTAGAAAGGAAATAAATTTGAATGAAGAAAGAACTGGCTATAAAATAATGCTAGTACAAATTTGATTTCCTGAGGTCTCTGTGAGTGTGTGTATGTGTGTTTTAAGTGACTCCCCCAAGAGGTATTTCCTGAACTTAATCCTTATTTACTGTCTAAATGTTAACAGACCAAGGAAAAGTTTCAAATATGTGAAACTTTGTTGAGGCAGACTGGTCTGGAGTGGCACTGTCCCTAACTCACATATAACATTTCCTGTAAATAGTCCAGCCTAGGTAGACAAAAAGAGTGGATGATGGGCATAAGTGGCTCTAACAGGGTGACAACACATTTATCTTGGGCACAAGTAAGATAACTTTAACAGGTACTGCTTTTTAATCAAAGTATAATATATGCATGGTAAAAAGAGAAGTGTAAAAAACAAACAACCTAAAGAACTTAAAACAAGTAACAGAGTTTTCTCCACTCCTTAAGCCTAGACGCTACTCTTCAGAGGTAACTGCTTTTAACCTTTCCAACTTTTTGTTGTTAATGTATCAGTTTTAGCCAGTATCTCTCAACTCCCATTTTTAAGAATGAGGATTTGAAGACTTTTGTACCATTTAGTTTTGATCAGCTATACCTTTACTTTTACATTAATAAGGTTGGTAAAATTTACATTTCAACCTATAACCATAGTTATGTCTTTTGTCTCAAAGTCGACTCTCATTAATAAAGATTATGTACACAGTGGTCATAATGTAAATATCGTTCATGTCCCAGTCAGGTAGTATTACATTTCTCTCCAAGGGTTTGATGTCCCAGTCCCTATGCCACTTGAAAAACAACATTCTTAATGACAAAATCACTTTCCTTAAGAGTCTAGTATTCCACAGGCTGGTTTGTGTCCTTTTTGAATTATGGCTTATATTTGCTGTTATTTTTCCTGGAGTTTCTAATTTTTGTTTTTTTTTTTTTTTGAGAAAAGATTTTGTTCTCAGTTAAGGACTTCCAGCTTCTTATTCTACTGAATGGAGTATTCTTCAGAGGTTACTGATTTTCCAGTAAAAATAGAACAATTGCTGTGATAGATGTGATCCAGGAATTTTTGTTGTTGTTGTTTGGACTCCTGGGTTAGTTCTGTTCTTTCTTCTATTCCCTAAGTCATTTTTCCATCTTACATGACTTTTCCTTTAAAAAAAGTATTAGTACATGGAGGATAATCCACTGAATCTGTTCTTTCTTTGTAATTGACAGCTTTGCTGAGTATAAAATTCTAAACTCCAAATAAATTTCTCCTTCAGAATTTTGGAACAACTATTTCATTCATTTAGCAAGTAATTCTTAAGTATTTACTATAAGGAGTAGTCTTCTAGGTACTGGGTAGGTAGCCAATAAGACCAGAATTCCCATCCTCTTGGAACTTACATTCTAGTAAAGGAAGACCAACAATAAAAAAAGTAAAGTAAATTATATAATGTATTGCAATAGGTACTATGTAGAAAAGTAAAGCTGGGAAATATTAATTAGGTGTTGGGCCATCAAGATTGATTCTGATGCTCTATCTTGAATTTTTATGTACTTTTTGCCTCTGCATTCTTGAGAGGTTTTCCTTTCTTAAGGTGTTAAACAGTTGCATTTAAATGCCAAGGACTTTTATTTTCTGTAGCTTTTCCATAGCATAGTTTTAAAAAATTTTTGGATATAATTTTTAATTGAGTTATATCATGTAGAGGAGTACATAGAACTGTGTATACAGATAAAGGCTGAAACTGTTCCTTGGGCTTTAGTTTCAAATTAACAGAAGAATGTGATAGACCCAGCTCACCTGGGAGTTCTCTCCAGTGAGAATGACTTCCAGTGCTGGAGGTAGAGGGGGCACCACTGGGTGACCTAATGTAGAAAATGACTATATCCAGATAGAATGTGGAGGTGGAGGTTAGCGTTGGTGGACAGCAGCCATCCAGAGAGGGGAACATGGAGCCCTGTGTGCCTAATGAGACTCTGAATTCCATTTTAAAGGCAAAGAAAGCCTCTGGTTTACCTTGGGGTGCTAAATGATCAGTTACAGGTTTTAGAAATTCTAGGAGAATGACAGGAAGGATGGGAGGAGGCTAGAAACCAAGTGAGGTCTGAAGAGAGGTATGTGTTTAGAGGTTACAGGTAGGATGTTAGTCAAGAAGATGAGTCGAGGTTTCTTGCTTTGGTGATCTTTCTCAATTAACAGAAAAGGAAGGATAGGTTTCATTCCTGTTGAGGGGGAGGATGATGACCTTGATAAATTTAATCCTGGACATTGGTAGTTTAAGGAGCTTGTGGGATATAACAGTGAAAATGCCCATCAGGTTGGCAGTAGTTAATATGAATTTGCTTTCAGAAGAATTGAGTAGACTTGAGAGTCATTAATATATAAAGTAAATAATGAGTAAAGTTGCTTGGGATGAGAAGGAAGCTTGGAAGAGAATACTGACATTTCTGTTTTTAACTTTATTGAGGTATAATATACATACAATAAACTTCACCTATTTGAAGTGTACAATTAGATAAATTTTGACAAGGTTGTGTACAACATGAAACCACCACCATCAACATACATGAACATCTTTGTCCCCATGTTTCTTGAGGCCCCGTTTTTATTCCTTGCTTCCTCCACATTCAGCCTTAGGAAACTACTGGCCAACTTTTGTCTCAGTACAGATGAATTTGCTTCTAGAATTTTATGTCTGGTTTCTCTTGTGTCTGGCTTTTACGTGGCACAATCCATTTAAGATTCATCCATGTAGTTGCATGTTTCAGTTCCTTTTTATTGCTGAGTAGTATAGCACGTTTCATTTATCCATTCACTAGTTGGTGGACATTTGGGTTCTCATTTTATGTCTCTTAATGAATAAGGCTCTGGACATCCATGTACGTGTGTGTGGTTGTACTGTTTTAATTTCTTCTGGGTAAATAGGAATGAAATGTCCACGTTGTATGGCAGGTGTAGTTCAACTTTAAGAAACTGCTAGCATTGTAGGGAGGTAGTGACATTTTATGTTTTTTCACCACTAAGAGTTCTGATGGTTCCAAATCCTTACAACTCTTGGTGTTCTCAGTCTAATTTTTAGTCATAACAAGTGTGTGCAGATGTCTAGTTTAAGTTTACATTTCAGTGATGGCTAATGATGTCTGCACTTATTGGCCATTTGTGTATCTCTGTGAAGTATTCAAATTTGTTGCCTGCTTTTTTTTTTAATTGGGGCTGTCTTTAGTTTTTTTACTTGTTAATAGTTTTGTTTACGTTGTCTTTATATCTGAGTTATAAGGGTTCTTATATGTTGTGGATACAAATTCTTTGTCTTCTCTGTGTTTTGAATATTCTATTGATTTACTTAATTTTGACTTTTGAAGAGGAAAAATTTTAATTTTGAAAATGTCCGATTTTTCAATATTTGTTTTGTGCTAAGAAATGTAAGAAACTTGCTTATCCTAGGGTGGCAAAAATTTTTCTCCTGTGTTTTTCTTTCCAGGTTTGTAGTTTTAGCTTTTAACCTATGTTTTAGCCTATGATCCATTCAGAGTCAGTTTTTGTGTGTTGCAAAACACCAATTTCTTAGAGGATGGGCAAAAGGAAAAAGCCCTGAAGGATTCAGAGGTATAGAAGATGTTTTTGAAGCCATAAAAGGAGCAGGTGGGGTCAGTGGTGTCAAATGCTTCATAAATCAAGTTTGATTATGCCTGAAAACTATTTAATATTTATGGCAATTTATTGAGTGTCCATTCTGCCAAGCACAGCACTTTGTGATCAAGTTGTTTGGCCTATTATAGGAGGGGTAGATTATACTTTGAAGAAATGTATGGACAAGAGAAAAGCTGAAGGTGGACACAGATGAAGATACTGTTTTTTGAGATATGGGTACACTTGTATGATGACGGGTAAAAATCAATAAAATGAAAATTTGTGGGAGGCGAAGAATTTTGGTGTAATTGGTGGGAAAGGCCCAGAGGAAGGAGCAAAGAATGGGACTCAGAGCATAGAGAAGATTAGCTTTGATATAGAGGATCCCAATGCTCACCCAGACGGCTCCAGAAAGGACAACGGGGGAAGATGAGTTGGGGCGGGGCGGGGGAGGGGGGGGCGGGGCGGGGGAGGGGGGGCGGGGCGGGGGGAGGGGGGCGGGTGAGACAGGTGGTATCCTCGCAAATCTGAGCTGGAGGAGAAATATAATTAATCTTTACAAATACCACTTGTAGCCTGATGAGGCAAAACAATTTTACAAGTGAGAGGTTTGCTCAGAGGAATTGTCGTTTGGTGGGTTATTTAGCATGCAAGGGCCTGTGCTCGCTGCAAAGCACTGAAACCACCCGAGGCAAAACTCCTTGACCTCAGCCTAATCCCGGCCGCAACTTCCGAACTACCTGCCCCACGATGCATCGGGGCCAGTTTCCCATTGGAGGCAGAGGCTGCGGTTGCGACGCGCCGGCCGGAAGACCTGCCTACGCCGAGTCGCCGAGTCTCAGGGCATCGAAGCTGTCTCCGGATGCAGCGCCATGCGAGCGGACCAGGCCTCCTTGTGGTATCGGCGAATGTCTGCTGTTTACGCGTTGGGTACCTGGACCCTTTTGGGCTCCTTGATTTTCTTCGGCCGGAAAGATAGCAAACCATTCGGTACGGCTCTCGGGCAAGACCTTCCACCGGATATGCCGCCTTTCATGGGGCGTACTTAGGGGTTCATGGGCACGGCTTCCCTGTGCCGCCAGTCCCAAATATTCTGCGAAACTTGGGAACAGCTGCCTAGAGCGTTTGTTATAAGGCTGTCTTCCCAGGAACTGCATTTTAAATCCTCTAACCTAAATCTTGTTTTACTGTTTTTTTTTTAACGAGGCCGTCTCTTATTCTAAGAATTTGAAGAATCAGTGTAACGTTCGAGGTGGAATTTTCAGACACTGGACGGTGGGTGGTGCTTCTGTAACATTAGCCCTCATTCGGCGAGCAATTACAGCACTTACACCAGCTAAAGAATATTAAAACTTTCCCAGTTATTGGACGGAAAGGAAATCTGTTAGCTTTCAAAAATGTGCTTGAAAATCTGCAGATAACTTAGAGTAGATTTTGGTTGCCTGAGGCTGAATGAGAGGAGTGATGGGAAGTGACAGCAAAGAGTATGGAGTTTCTTTTTGAGAATGAAAATATTGTAAAATTGTTGTGCTTATTGCCCAGATTTGAATATACAAGATATTATGTAATCTTACATTTTAAATGAGTAATTGTATAATGTTAAGTATATCTCAGTAAAGCCGTTAAGTGGAAACTGCTGAAGATTACATTTGGTGACAAAGATTACCAGTGGCCTGGAAGTACATGTATCCATTACTGAGCGGTTAAACACAGTTCAGTGTCTATAGTGGTTACATTTTATTTATTTTCCTTTTTTACACAAAATGGTGTCAGGAATCTGATGGGGGTGGGGGTAATTCTTAACTTTAGTTTGTTTCTTATAAGACTTTACTAATAATTTACATGACTGCTATTTAAGTTAGAAGTTAATAATTGAGGTGTTCTTTTTTTTTAAGGTGATGAAGTAGAACAAAAAGGTGTCTCAACAAATGAATTCCCTGAGCCAAGTAATTCTTACCTTAGATTATTTTATTTCCAAGACTTTACTAAATAATTTTAATGACTACTTCCTAAGTTAAAAGTTAATAATTCAGGTGTTCCATATTTTTTAAAGGTGGTGAATTAGAGCAAAAGAATGAAATAATTGAGCCCCCAAAGGGGTTTTATGTGGAAACGATTGTCACATACAAAGAAGATTTTGTTCCAATTACTGAGAAGATCCTCAACTATTGGAAATCATGGACTGGTGGCCCTGGACCAGAATCATGATCGACTGCTGAATTTTGAAAACCAGGACTTTGGTTCAGATTATAAATTTGATAGATGCTTTGATTTCCATTTTATGTTTGTCAAAACTGTATACATTTAATTTAATTTTTGCCGTAAATTACCATCACTAATAATATGCAATAAACATTTCCTTGAAGAAAAGTAAACTTGCATATTCAAGAAGTCTCCCTCTATACTTACATGAGTGAAAGGTTGAAGTGAAATTTTACGTTGAGTAAAGCTTGTGTTCTGAAACTAGCTCATAAACTTTATATTTCTTTATTTTGTTGTCCGACACAGCTTTGAATGGTCCAATTAAAGTTAGATTCAGCAAATCTCCATGTTTAGTTTGGGATTTATAGTAGCCCTTTGGATTCTATTGGGTACTATGTAAGTACGTTGTGTGAATTAAATAGATGCAACCTGGTCTTTAGAACCACAGCAGGTGTGGATTAAAGTACGCTATGAATTAAATAGACACAACCTGGTCTTTAGAACCACAGCAGGTATGGGTTAAATCCCAACTGTGACTACCAATATTCTAGACACAGTGAATACTAAGTTGGGACAACATGGTTCCTGCCCTGGAGTGCTACACTGGTCTCTTCACTAGTCACTTTTGCTTGCAAGTAACAAACCCACATAGGTGAGCTCAAATCAAGGAGTTGTTTATCAAAAATGTATATGGGCAATTCAGAATTAAAGCAGATTATGTTGCAGTTTTGGGAGGGCCTGGCACCAGGAACTGGAATGCAGCTCACCACTCACTCACTCTGCCTGCCTCTGGCTCAAATAAATTCTAATAAACTCAAAAATTTTCTACAAGTTTGAACATTCTTATGTTGACATACATGTACTTAGAAATGGTTTCCTAAGTCTGGTAATTTGGTAACTAAACTTTTGCTAGTTAAATTAAATGATGGACATTCATTGAATGTCGAGACCATTTTCAAATAAGAAACTATCAATTGCTGAACATAGACATTACCTACTGTTTGCTTCTACACTTGATCTTAGCCAAAAGGCCAAGAAATGATTACTTTCTGCTGCTTTATAGAAGAAATAAAGATATTTGAGTCTTACCTAGTAAACATGTTTTGTGCCACATTAAAAAATCTTGTGTCGTGAGGAAATATATATTTCTATAAATTACAAAATGTTTATAAATTTATTAGTTGAAAAGAATACTGATGTTAATAGTTCACAGTTCCTTACTCCTTTGTTTTTACTAGAATTTAGGATTTTTAAAGGTTAAGGATTCTAATATATATAATTAAAGGTACAAAAATTAATAGTAGGGAAAGCCAGTAGTATAAAAGGAAAATGGGATATATTTGGCTTAAAAAAGGTATAAGATGTGGAACTGTGGAGTTTTTTTGTTTTACTTTTATTTTTTTAATTTATAAATCATGTTTATTCTATTATAGTTGTCTCAATTTTTACCCCTTTACCCTCCTCCACCTATCCCACCCCCACCCCCAACTCCCACAGTCAATTCCCACTCTTGTCCATGTCCATGGGTCATTCATACATGTTCTTTGTCTAGTCCCTTCCCCTTCTTTCCACCATTGTCCTCTTTCTCCCTCCCCTCTGGTCAATTTCAGTCTGCTCCATGTTTCTGTGCCTGTGGTTTATTTTGTTCATTAGTTTATTTTGTTGAATAGAGTCCACTTACAGGTGAGATCCTATGGTTATTGTCTTTCATCAACTGGCTTATTTCACTTAGCTTATTCTCTAGTTTCATCCATGTTGTCACAAAAGATAGGAGTTCCATCTCTTAAATGCAGATTGATTTTATTTACTTTTTTAAATGTCAAAGTTAATGATAAAATATTAAAAAATTTAAAACCATTATAAAGTCTCAGCAATTAAACCAACATGACATCAGCACAGAAATAAGTAGATCAATGAAAGATAACATTCTAGAGACAAATGTATATATCTGTCTAACAATATAATATATGATTAAGTTGATAATTTGAAATCAATGGGTAAAATAAGGCTTATTCAACAAATAAGATCCATGGACCACTACTACTTGAAATAAAACAAATATAGAGCCCTATTTCACATAATATACAAGAAATAGGTGAGTTAAAAATCAATATGTAGAATTGAAGTTTTAGAAAAAAAATAGAACTAATATTTTTCATGACCTGAAGTAAAATATTCAACCCCAGAAGCTATAAAGTAAATATTGGTAATATGACTATATTAAACATTTAACTATATAGTAATAGACATATAAAAAAGTTAAAGGACAGGGACTAGAAAAGTATTTGCAACACATCTAAAATGTGGTTAATTGGTTTTTCTTTTTTAGGGAAAAAGGTTCTACAAACCTTAATAAATGGATAAAGAATACCAAAAAGTCATTTAAAGCTTTAAAAAAAAAAATAACATAAGAAATACCAAAGCAGGTTTAGTTTCAACAAATAGTACAGGAACAATTAAAATAACATTGTCAAATCAGATTAATGAGTATTAAAAATATTGGCAATATCAAGTATTGGCAACTCTGAAAGGAACTTGGTATTCATAGAAACTTTTTCTTCATTTTAAAGCAGCACCTTTAGCATATTTTGCAGTGCTGGTTTGGTGGAGGTGTATTTTAATCTTTTGTCTGGGAAACTGCTTATTTTGCTTTCCGTTTTAATTGAGAGCCTTGCTGGGTGGGGTAGTCTTGGTTGCAGGCCTTTGCTTTTCATGACTTGGAATATTTCTTGTCATTCCCTTCTGGCTTGCAGTGTTTCTGTTAAGAAGTCAGCTGCTAGCCTTATCGGGGCTCCCTTATATGTCACTATTTTCTCCCTTGTTGCCTTTAGGATTCTCTGTCTTTGCTATTTGCCATTTTAATGATGATGTGTCTTTGAGTGGGCCTCATTGGGTTCCTCTTCAATGGGACCCTCTGTGCTTCCTGGACTTGTGTGACTTTTTCTCTTCCAATTAGGGAAGTTTTCCATCATGACTTTTTCAAACAGGTTCTCTATCCATTCCTCATCCTCCTCTCCTTCTGGTATCCCTATTATGCGGATATTATTATGTTTCAGGTTGTCCTGCATTCCCCTGAATGCCTCTTCATTCTTTTTCATTCTTTTTTCATTTTTTTGCTCTTTCTGGGAGCTTTTTTCTGCCTTGCCCTCCAGCTCGCTGATTCGGTCCTCAGCTTCCTCTAGCCTGCTTTGGATTCCTTCTACTGTGCTCTTCAATTCAGAAAGTGTATTCTTCATTTCCTCTTGTCTCTTATTGATAGTTCCTATGTCCTTTTTCATGCTGATATAGTTTGCAGTAAGTTCCTCATAGTTTCCCTGTAGTTTTTGGTAATTCTTTCTGAGCTCACTGAGCTCATTGAACTTCCTTGGAACCATTGTATGGAACTCAGTATCTGATAGTTTACTTGCCTCTGTTTCATTTAGTTCCCTTTGTGGTGATTCCTCCTTTCCCTTTGAGTGGGGCTGATTTCTTTGTCTTCTCATTATTTGATAGAGACTCATGCTTCTTCTTCTTAAGTTGGTCTGTCTTGATTTCCTGACTTTGTGGTGTGAATTTCTATGGTTGGAGACAGCTGTTTTTCCTTTCTGGACCTGCCTGTGATGATGTCAGATGTCGTTCGTGCCTGACCTTAGGTAGTCTGTTCAAGACTTCCAATAATCTGTTTGTGGCTGTGTCCTTCATTTGTTAATCTAGTCACTCTGCACTCAGCAGGCTGCCTTAGCTCAGGGCAGGGCAGAGTCCTCCTGGGGGCGGGGTTATTAGGTCCTCTCACGCTGCTGCATATGGAGGAGGAATCAGCACTAGGATCCTGTTAGCTACTCTCCATTCTCTCCCCAAAGCCTCTGTCCCCCGTCTCTCTTCAAGTGTCGCTAGACCTCTCTGCGCCCGCTTTAGCCAGGGATTTGTGGCTGCCACTCTGCACTCAGCAGGCAGCTTAGAAAGCACAGGGCGGTGTGAAATCCCACCGGGAAGCTGGGCTGTTGGGTCCTTTAATGCTGGTGCCACTCAGGGGGAGTGGTCTTTGCCTGAGTAAGATGGCTGCTGCCACATGGGGGACGAGTCAGCACCGAGATCCTGCCGGCTATTCTCTGTTCTCTCCCCAAAGCCTCCTTCCCCTGTTTCTCCTAAGGCATCTCTAGCCCAATCTGTCCCACCTTTGCTGGAAACCAGGGTAAGCGGCCAAAAATAAAAATTTATGCGTTGGCCCTTTAAACAGTTCTTTGCATCTCAAGCTGCCAGTCTCTGGCAGAGAGCAACCCTGTCACTTTTTGCAGCTGGCTGTTTTCTGTGTACTTTTCGGGTTCTGGTGCTGTGGGCTAGAGATCCCTGCTTTTAGTTTAGACCCTGCTCTTGGGGGGATCCAACTGGCTGTTTCAATATCCTTCTGGTGCTGCCACCCATGTGCACCCTGCCCGGCTTCTCGAGTCTCTACTGCATTTTTTACCAGTTAGGTTGCGGTAAAGCCGAATCTTCTGTCTCTGAGGTTACAAGGCTCCTCTCTCGCTCTTGTTCAGTTGTTTGTTCCAGGTGATTTCTCCCCAATTTAGTTGTAATTCCAGGTTGGTCCTGGGAGGAGGTCAGTGTGACTTCCACTCACTCTTCTGCCATCTTTATGTGTGGAAATATGATTTCATTAAGGGAAATGAAGTAATTTTGTCCTGATTATATCTGAATGGCTAGGGATACTGAAAATGAAGAAAGTTTATGAAAAAGTGAATCTTGAGGAAGGAAAGCTTATACAAGTATTGAAACTGCATAAGATTCAAATAAATTATGTGTTTAAATATCAAAAGTAAGCTAATGTAAAAATCAGAGTTTGATTTTCTCTGCTAAAAAGAATGGTTTTCTTAGACTATTGGTCTGCTACTGATATTTTGAAGGTTTTTTTTTTTTTTCTGCCTAGAAAGCAAAGATTATGTATTTTATGAAAATAATTTTCTGTATTTTATGTTGTCTTTTTAAAAAAAATCCTCACACAAGGCTATGTTTATCGATTTTAGAGAGAGAGTAGCGGGTAAAGGGAGAGGGAAACATCAGTCTGCTGCCTCTTCTACACACCCCAACTGGGGATCAAACCTGCAACCGAGATATGTGCCCTAATCAGGAATCAAACCCTCAACCTTTCTGTGTATGGGACAGTGCTCCAATAAACTGAGCCACCTGGCCAGGGCTTACATTTTTTTAATTAGGTCCTTGATTACCTAAGAAAACTGAATCTCCTCAATACTAAGAACAAAGTTTTGCTATCAATCATGTAAACTTCTATATTTGTCTTTGTAATTTTTAATTGTTACTTTGGTTAAATGGATAATTAAATATTGATTCAAATGACTTAAGATCTTATTTAGTCAAATGTCCAAACTTGGGCTCCTGGAACACCTCAAAAGATTTGTTTTCTCTCTTTACAAAAATTTTAAAAACTAATTAGGCTTATTTGGTATGTTAAGTTGCATGGGAAGCATTATAAAATAAGTGGTGTTAATCTTCCAGAGTATATTGTAAAGGTAAACAATGGCTGTAAATTAAAAGAATAGTCTGGGCTATGGGAAACCCAAGGTGGCCACTTGGTTCTTTCAGGCTCCTGGCAAACCACATTTTGTTTTCCCTTTTCTTTTTGCATTCCTTTGTCACCATGGTACTTTTAAGCTGGACTTTATTCAACTGCTATTTAGTATGGGTTATCAATATGTTTCTGTTGTATGTGTCCAGGATGGAATAAAGTCTTTACCTACTGAAAGGCTGATATCCTCACAGTAACAAAGAAACTGTTAGAAGATGTGTTTCCTACTTGGGGTATGTGTTCAACCATGTCTGAGGAAATCATACGAGCTTTGAAGGACAGACTTGATAACTTGGAATTATCACTGATGCTATCACTTGGTTATCAGGCAAAGTTCAGAGAACAAATGAAAAACTGGATTTAAACAGAAATTTTAATTACATGGGACTGAGTGAAGTGATGAGAATATTTACAATTTTTATGACTTTTTGTTTGAAACATTGCTGGTTCTTTTTGTTCAAGATATAAGAAATAGGTTTTTTTTTCTTTCTAAAGCTAGCTATGACTTAGAACAATTTGGTAAACTATAACTTTGAAACAATTGAAAAAGTTGTCTTTTTCTCCCTACTTGATTCCTCCATAATTTGGAAACTTACAGTGAGAGTTCTCATTTTCATGGCAATATTGTTACTTGCATAAGTTCAATAAGAATTTGTTCTTACAACAGGAGACAATTGGAAACTAGTTATATTTCAAGGATTTGACTGGAATATCATATTTGATTGAGACATGCATAGACTCACATATGACCAGACAGCTTTAAGATTGACTGATGGAAGTTAAAACCCTTGGAAATACTGGCTTGGTACCTTGCTTACATATTCCTAACAGCTTTACTGGGTGAGTAAAAATGTCACTTTTTTAGCAGGTGCAGAAACCTCAGGATATTTTAGGGAGCTTGAGAAGAGAGGAACTCACCCAGCTCTGTAGATATTTTAGGCAATATCTGATGGCAAGTTCTTGCTGTGGCTTTTCTGGCCTTGAGAGGCTATTTTAAGTTCAGTCTGAGATTTCTTTAAAAAATATTCTAACACAGCTCTAAAAGAGCCTATGTGGAATTCTTAACCTTTAAAATTCCTAATTTTTGAAGGAATTCTTAACATTTAAAAATCCTAATTTCTAGTAAAAACTAAGTAGTAAGGAATTGTAAACTATTACACCAGTGTTCTTTTAGATTAATAAATTTATAAACATTTATAATTTATAGAAATACATATTTTCTTACTATTCTTGTTGGATTTACAAACAGGCCAAGTTTATTGAAATAACTTATTTTGCAAATAAATTAGTGTTAATTTGGTTACCTTTGGTAAAGATGATTTTAGAGGTAAATATATTTCAATAGAAACTATAATATACTTTTGGGATGTTAGATTCTAGTGCTGTTATCTTTTGAATGTTTTTCTTGTACACTGGACTGAATCTTTAATTTTTCTAGTTCCCTCCAACATCTGCTTATCACTCTGCAAACCGTTTCCAATTTTTTTTTCATCTTTTGACTTGGAATCATTGAGAACTGAAACTACCCTTTTCTCAAGGCCATGGCCAAAATAGATTTCAGAGAAATTGCTACAACAGTTCATATATGAGCAACCTTTATGCCACTTGTGGAAAGGTCAACAGAGACATTCAAACTGCAGACCAGGAGAATCTATCAGGCTGTAACTGCCTGCCCTCACTCAATATGAAGATGATTCAAGACAGACATGTTGGCATGAAGGCAGACATTTCAACTGCCTGCCTTCAGAACTCAGAAACAGATTATAGTGTGTTCCAATTATTAACTTTTGTTTTTCTCTTGTTTCCGTAGAGATTCTTTTTATTAAATAACTGTACTATGTTTACACCATAGGCTTAATTTTAGGAGTCCACAGGCATTACTGCCTGCTCAAATGAGACAACTGTTTAACTGAACTGAACCTTTCTCAGGACTGAGACTGGTTTTGAACTATCAATCAACTCGTCTTCTGGAATGTGAAACTTTCAGGAAGTTTCAGAGAAGGGAACTGTGTAGGTACAGAAAGAACCATTCCAACATGTACCTCTATGGTATGTGGATTGTTTCTGAGCTAAACGCAACTTTTAAGCTATGGACTCAAGAGAAACTTCTGCCCCTGAACTATCTAGAAGAACTTGAACTGGGGCTTTTGCCCATAATAGGAGGTCATCAGAGATAACCTCTTTTGATCCATCTATAGGGCAAGAGGAACTACTAATTACTAAATGTGCTCTCCCAGCAATGACCTTTAGAAGCCCCCAAGGCACCTTACCTCATCCCTAGCTCAGAATGTTTTATATACCCATTTTCCCTTACTGCCTTTGAATCTCCCATGCATGTGAGGTCTCTTGACTCTTGCATGTATGTGGGTCCCCATAAATATGTATGTATTAAATTTGTTTATTATTCTCTTGTTAATCTGATTCATGTTTTATTATTATTATTATTAGACCAGCTGAAAGAAACTTGAAAGTAAAGTTTCTTCCCCACATATACATTTCTGGCAGAAATACCACAAAACTGATGTGTCTCAGTGCAATATCAGGGAGCATACGATTTTTGTCTCATTACTGGTGAGAATAGCTTAGGCCACTTCATTAATGTACTTTAGTATGTAGTGTTATCATTTAAGTACACTAGTTTGCATTCTTTTCTGGCCAAATAGCTTTCCTTTTTTATTTGAATGCTTTCTCTTATAGGAGGAGGAAAAGTTTTCCTCAACACTCATAGAGTCCCTGGGTGGACTTGAAAATTAAACTGATAAAGACAGCTGAGCAGGAGAAAAGCATACCAATTTATTTGTTTTACATGTGACTGAACTCAATCAATACATGATGCAGGAGCCTTCATAAGGAAATGAAGACCTGAAGAAACAGACCTGAGTATTTTTATGCTATATTTTGTTTTGTTTTTTGTTTTAAATTCTCTCCTGAGGATATGCTTGATTTTTAGAGAGAGAGGAAGGTAGGGAGAAAGGGAGGGAGAGAAACTGATGTGAGAGAGAAACGTTGATTGAACATGCCCCATCTGGGCCCCAATCTGCAACCTAGGCATGTGCCCTGACTGGGAATTGAATCTGCAGCCTTTTCGTTTTGCAGGATGTTGCTCCAACCAGCTTGAGCTACACCAGCTGGGGCTATGCTAGGTTTGATGAAGTTTGGGCAGTTGCGGAGGAGTATGATACGTCAAGTAATATGAGGTAACTGTGGTAAACTGGAGGAGACCTAGTAAGGCTGTTTGTTCTTGAGAGATAAGGATGCACTTTAAGTGTAGAGATGGCACCTCTCACATGAAGAGTTTATGACCTGTTTGGGGAGTGGAGGACTGGGGTGATTTTCCTGCTTTTGTTTTCTCACATTCTTCCAGCTTTACATAATCAATATGCCAAGATGCCATGTTTTGGGATGTCCTGTCCTGAACCTCATTATTCTACACTCACCAGTGCTGTTAGAGGACACATTCAGAGCAACTTATTTTTATCAGTGAAAATAATTTGTTAGGATAATGCTCGTACAGTCTTTTGCAGCTTTCTAAGCACTTTTACATAGTCTATTTAAATAACCTCCTAACAACCTTGCGGGGAATGGGGTGGGTGGGGCATATTAAGTATTTGTATTTTTATTAGAGGAAGAATTAGAATTATGGAATTACAGTATACATCTACGTACAACCATGACATAAGTGAAATGAAAAATACTTAAATGGCTATTCTTGGCAACAACTCTTGTTCTGTTTCGTTTCTAAGACTCCACTGAGGCGGGAACACAAGGGAAGAAGAATTTGGGAGGATATTGGGACAGAGGGATGGAAAGAAGGAAGAGGGAACATAGTTAGAATTAGGATTCAGGCAGAACACGGTTGGGATTTAGGAAAGACGGCTCTTAGGCCTGAAGTGAGAAAAAGCAGGTACCGTCTGGGCAAGATTGGGGATCCTAGAGTTAGGGCGGGGACCAACTGTGCGGGGAGCAGGACCGAGAACCCGGTGTGGCTTATCACTTGATAAACGGGTTATATAGTTAGGGCTCAGGTGGGCGTAAGCGATGTGGGCGGGACCAACCTATGGTGGGCGTGGTCAACATCCGCTGGCCTTCGCCAGTTTGGCCTGACAGGGCTGCCAGGCGCTTCCTGGTGTCACCCGCAGAGGGCGCTGGCCGCCGAACTGTTCACAGAGTCGCGAGGCCGGAAGAATCGCGGCACCGCCTCACTCGCTCCAGCCGCCGCCATGAAAGCCTTGGTGCAGCGCGTCACCCGGGCCAGCGTCACAGGTCAGTCGGGCGGGGCCGGGCCCGGGAGGAGCCGCCCCTGACCCCGCGCCCGGCAGTCCTCGGACGCCCCTGTGAGGGTTTCCCCAAACGGTCCCCAGGGCAGTTCTGCCCTCTGAGGCCCTGGCGCGAGCTCAGCGTCGAGTCTCTGGCCAGGCTCTGGGCACTGCCACGGCCCCTGATCGTTGTCCATGTGCCTGGTGGGCCCCAACGCGTCCCTGGCTTCACGATCTTCTCTTTGGGTTCACGATAAGCACACCTTATTATTTTGGTTATGAGCACCTGGTGGTAGAACCTCCGAGCATCTCTATGGCCCGTTCTTCAGTGGAGTATTGCACTAACATGTAGGGAGCGTTTCTGGAGCAAGAACATCCCCCTTTCCAACGTTCTCTTAAAATTTCCCATTCTGCCCATTTTCTATATGCTCCAGTTTTTATGGACCTTGACTAGTCACTGGGTTGTACACCTGAAACGAATTTAACATTGTATGTCAACTGTAATTGAAAAATGAAAAATTATTAAAGAATAATATTGATTTATATAATGAACAAAAAAAAGCCAAAGGCTTTTTTAAAAAGCAAAACAAGTAAACAACCCCAACTGTTTAGTCTTTATGTTAGGGTAGATTTTTTTCAGTTTCAGCTTTTGAGTCAGTGGATTAAAGAACAGTAAATCACTCATAGTCCATTATAAGAAAATCAGACAAGAAAATATTAAATTTTTTTTAGCATAAAACTAAGAGAAACTAAGCTTTACAGATATTTCAGGAATGGGTTGGTACTGGAGCTCCCTTGGGGTTTGAATGTCAGGCGGTGCCTTGTCAGACACCTGAAGGAAGAGGGGAGTCTCTCACTCTTTCCTTAGCTTGCAGGATGTTGCAACACAGTGAAATCTGTGATTCCTTGTCAGGTATATTTATAGATATTATTATTATTTTAAAGATTTCATTTATTTATTTTTAGAGAGAAGGGAAGGGAGGGAGAAAGAAAGGAAGAGAAACATTGATGGGAGAAACATCAATTGGTTGCCTCTCACATGTGCCCTGACCAGGGACCAAACCATCAACCCAGGCATGTGCCCGGACTGGAAATCGAACCTGAGACCCATCACTCTGGGAAATAGCACGCAATCAACTGCATAGCACTGGTCAGAGCTATTACTGTTATTTAAAAAAAAAAATTTTTATTAAAAACATTTTTTTAATTTATTGTCCTGGCCAGTGTGGTTCAGTTGGAGCATCATCCTGTAAACTGGAGGGTTGCCGGTTCAGTTCCAGGTCAGGGCACATGCCAAGGTTGTGGCTTTGGTAACCAGTTGGGGTATGAACAAGAGGCTACCCATCGATGTTTCTGTCTCACATTGATCTCTCTCTCTCTCTCTCTCTCTTCCTTCCCCTCTCTAGAAGTCAGCAAGCATGTCCTCAGGTGAGGACAAAAAAATTATTTATTGATTTTAAAGAGAGAGGAAGACAAATATCAATTTGTTGTTCCATTTACTTATACATTTATTGGTTGATACTTGTATGTACCCTGACTGGGGATTGAAACTGCAACCTTGGCAAATTGGGATGATGCTCTAACCAACTGAGTTACACAGCTAGGGCCTACTCATAGATATTATTATCCAGCAGAAGCAAACAACAAAAAAATGACAGAGTTGACCCTCTTCTAATTGGAACATTAGATTAGTACATGATAAAGTAACAAAACATCAATAATCTAATGCGATTTGGCAAAATGTTGGCTCCTAAGGGTAGAAAATTTTGAAGATCAACATTTGAAGTATGGGCTTTGATTTTCCCTTAAAATGATGCATCTTGGCCTAAGTACTATACCAACACTGAGAGACTGTCTAATGGTAGTAGAGCATGCATTTAACTCTAAATACATATATTAATGTTTGGAATAGGAATATATATTCAAAGATTATTTTTATGAATGAGGTGCTTGATTCAAAAAGATTTGGAGATCATTGTTTAAAATGCAACTTAGTACTAAACTGGGAAATAATAGAAGTTTGATGACTTGAAGCTTAATTTAAAAAAATTTTTTTTTAAAGATTTTATTTATTTATTTTTAGAGGGGAAGGGAAGGAGAGAGGGAGAGAAACATCAATGTGTGGTTGCCTCTTGTATGCTCCCTACTGGAGACCTGGCCCACAACCCAGGCATGTCCCCTGACTGGGAATTGAACCAGTGACCCTTTGATTTTCAGGCCAGCTCTCAGTCCACTGAGCTATGCCAGCCAGGGCTGAAGCTTAACTTTTAAACCTTGGTTTTTGTGTATAATATATTTATCTTTTCTGCGGTAAGTAGAAAAATCATTTCTTTATTTTTATGACATAAGTGTTTTCCATTTTGTGCTGTGTATTGTATTACCAGATTTGTTGATTCCAAGACAAACAGGCATCTCCTGAGAATTAAAATAACCAAGCTGGATTCTCTGGGCAGGAAAACTCTTCTTTTTTACAGATTGGCAAGCTCCATCATGGAAAGTTTTTGGTGTCTTACCCAAAATCACACATGAAAATGTGGCCCTACAATCCTGCATAATGGTTGTTCTCTTCAAAACTCATTTATTTTTGATGTAAAATAATAATGGACATAAAATATGATCATTTTACTGTATTCACATAGCACCTTTAATTTTTGAGTACCTACAGACTTTGCCAAAGTAGTTATAAGAAGTATGTGTGTTATTTAAACAATCCTGTTGGTTATTTAAAGGCACTTTATGGTCCATGGTACTTGTTTGGTTCTGAGTCTCTTTTCCCTTTTGATTCCTTTCTAGTTGGAGGAGAGCAGATAAATGCCATTGGACGGGGCATCTGTGTGTTGCTGGGTATTTCTCTGGAAGATACACAGAAGGAACTGGAGCACATGTAAGATACAGATTTCTAAATCATTGTTCTTCAAAGAACAATGGGATATGTGATGGTTTTATATAAAATATATGTACATACATATACTAAGAACTTCTATAGGATTTTGTTTTTATAAAGTGAGCCCCTGTAACTTTTATCATTGTGACATTTGATGTAGTATGGTTATCTCCGTGTTCCAGATGAGGAGACCGAGGAAGAGGAATCTGTCAAATGTTACCCACTAAGTGAGCAGCAGAGCTGGAGTACAACTTAGCCTCCATCCCTATTTGCTACTGCATCTGTGAACCATTCCCTTAATGCAAAACCTAAGCCTCTTTTCCTATGAATATTTGTTTTTTAATTAAAAAAATATTTTATTGATTGTGCTGTTATAGTTGTCCCAATTTTCCCCCCTTAACCCCTCTCCACCCAGTACCCCTATTCCCCTTGGCAATTTCCCCCCTTAGTTCATGTCCATGGGTCATGCATATAAGTAATTTGGCTACTCCTTTTCCTATACTGTTCTTAACCTCCCCTGTCTATTTTGTACCTACCATTTTTTACTTCTTAATCCTTGCAGCTTTTTCCCCATTCTCCCCCATCCCCCTCCTAACTGATAACCCTCCAAATGATCTCCATATCTATGATCCTGTTTCTGTTCTTGTTTTCTTAGTTTGCTTTTTAGATTCAGTTATTGATAGTTGTGAATTTATTGCCGTTTAATGTTCATAATTTTGATCTTCTTTTTCTTATATAATTCCCTTTAACATTTCATATAATAACGGCCTGGTGATGATGAGCTCCTTTAGTTTTACCTTGTCTGGGAAGCACTTTTTCTGCCCTTCAATTCTAAACAATAGCTTTGCTGGATTGAGTAGTCTAGATTGTAGGTTCTTTCTTTTCATTACTATAAATACTTCTTGCCAGTCCCTTCTAGCCTGAAAAGTTTCTTTTGAGAAATCTGTCAACAGTCTTATGGAAACTCTTTTTCAGGCAACTTTCTGCTTTTCCCTTGATGCTTTTAAGATTCTTTCTTTACCTTTAACCTTTGGCAGTTTCATTATGATGTGTCATGGTGTGACCCTCTTTGGGTCCATCTTCTTTGGGATTCTCTGTGTTTCCTGGATTTGTATGTCTACTTCTGTCACCAAATTAGGGAAATTTTCTTTCATTATTTTTTCAATTTCTTGTTCTTCCTCTTCTCCTCCTGGCACCCTTAAGTTTCGCATGTTGGTACATTTGAGATGTCCAGAGGCTCCTTAGCCTATCCTCCTTGTTTTTGAATTCTTTTTTCTTCTTACCATTCTGATTGAATGTTTTTTTCTTCCTTGTGCTCTGAATTGTTGATTTGATTCTCGGCTTCATGCCCTCCACTTTTGGTTCTGCGAGCATCCTGATAACCAGTGTTTTGAACTCTGCATCTGATAGATTGTTTATCTCCATTTTGTACAGTTCTTTTGCTGGAATTTTGTTCTGTTCTTTCATTTGGGCCCTATTTCTTTGTTTCTTCATTTTGGCAGCCTCCCTGTATTTGTTTCTGTGTATTAAGTAGAGCTTCTTTGACTTCCTGTCTTTTTAGTATGTCCTACTGTAGAAAAGCACACCCATCTGGATGAATGTGGCTTCTTTAAATCCTTGGTTGTCAGACTTCCATACAGCTCGATTTTCTGATGTTTCTGGGTGATATTTGTTTTGTAGTCTAGTTGTATTTTTGGTCATAGTTGTGCAAAGAGGTGAGGCATGTTTACCTGTACCTCCATCTTGACCAGAAGTATAATCCTCATCTGGCAGCGCCATTCTTCCAAACAAGTCCCAAAAGCCTGTTTTTTAATTTAAGATATATTATCTGGCACTGTTTATGCATTTTTAAAATGCCCAGTTCTTCATTGTATATATAAGGATGTGTATCTCAGATAGTTTAAATTACTTTCTCAAAGTTACATACAGATACTTATCAAAAAGCCCAAATCCAAATTAGAATCTAGGCTACCTGACCTGGGCCAGTGCTCCTTTACTAAAGTAAGGGGGTTTGTCATTGCTGTTGCCTGACTGGCTGTCTTAGCATGGGTAGCTACCCCCTCCCCATGTTAACCCCTGCCTGTGCCTTCCTTTACCCCTTGCCCCAGCACCACTTGACACATTTACTTCAGATGCTCAGATCTGTTTATTTTGCTTTTTGGTACCCAGAGCCTGAGTATAATCCCACCCCATTGCCCCTTTTGTATTATATTGAAAATCAGACTTGGAACACAATTCCTGCTAAAGTGCTGATGACTGATAAGTATAGTTCACTAACACTTTAGGGATGTTGGCATTTTAGTAAATGACCCCTGGATGCTCAAGACAGTAGAGTAGTATAGTGGTTAAAAACTGGGGCTCTGGGTCTGACTCTCTTTATGGCTCTGACATTTTAGAGAGCTAATACTTATCTTGGTGGTTAAGAGATTTGACTCAACAGAAGACAAACCTTGTCTGTGGAGGGGAGTGATGAAAAGTGCCCACCATAGCAAATACCCATACAAAGAGTCAGTGAATTTCTATTTGTATAGCCCTTGAACATGTCTTCAACGACATCCAAAAAGGTGGCTCTCCAAAGGTGGAATTTGAACTTTCGTGCAGGTCGTAACCTGTCATGCTTTTCAAATCTGATCTTATAAATGTTACCTAGCCCTCTTCCTTGCCAAGGTGGCTGTCCTTTGTCATTCATATGTATAGAGAAAGCCCCTCTAGGACTTAAGGAGCATGTGACATAGTTGTTAAGGTATCTTTCTCCAGTACTTTTTGCATAGTGGCTGTAAACCTAAGTTCTCTCCACGGTATTTGCTGAATTGTTCATTTTGAGTAGCTCCAAGAAGGGATGTAAAAAATGGGGTGCCATTTATTCCAATGTAAAGATCGAATTCTTCTATAGACAGTTAGAATTGGACCCATGTTTTGACATAATCTCTACTTGAAGGAGCAGATAGCGAGTCGTTGTCATCTTGGCTCCAGTTCCTCCTGGCAGCTGCTGTGAATTGGAGGGTCGATACAAAAAACAAAAAACAAAAAACAAAAAAAAAAAAGGATATTCCTAAACAACCCCATGAGGTAGGTAGTAATCAATCATTATTACTCCCTATTACTGATGAGGAAAAGGAAGCACAGAGTGGAAAATAACTTGCCCAAGGTAACGCTTTCTATAAGTGATGGAGTAAGCACTATGTTCTTGTTTGGCAGGATGATGGTGACATTGGGAGGGTGTGGAATGTTTGGGGGTCTTGCAGTTCCTCAGGTAGTTTTCACTGCTATTTTTCCCCTTAGGGTCCGAAAGATTTTAAACTTACGTGTATTTGAGGATGAGAATGGGAAGCACTGGTCGAAGAGTGTGATGGACAAACAGTATGAGGTGCTGTGTGTCAGCCAGTTCACTCTCCAGTGCGTCCTCAAGGGCAACAAGCCTGATTTCCACCTGGCAATGCCCACGGAGCAGGCAGAGAGTTTCTACAACAGCTTCCTGGAGCAGCTGCGCAAGACATACAGGCCGGAGCTCATCAAAGGTAGGCAGGAGAGTCTCTGGGACACTTCCGGGCAGGGGGAGAAGAGAATCTGCAACTGCAATTTTTCCTTTTCAAGAAAGTTCATTGTTTATGCTTATTACTTACTTAAAACAACATAATGGCTGCTGCCACTGTTTATTGCTGTACATGTCCTCTGAATGCCCCGGACACCATTTACTCTTCTTCATTCTTTTAGTCACATTTGAAAATATTTAGCAACCCTGAGGTACATTTGATATAGTGGTGTTTTATTTTGGTTACTTACCCTGTCTGACAGAAATATAATACAAGCCACAAATGTGAGGAACATGTCATTTTAAACTTCTAGTACCAATTTTTAAAAAAGTAAAAGGAAACAGGTGAAATTAATTTTAAAACTGTATTTTATTTAGCCAATGTATCTAAAATATTATTTCATCATGTAATTAATATAAAAGGTTATTAATGAGATAATTTATATATTTATACATTTTTTTTGCACTAAAGTCTTCTTCTAAAGCTGGTATGTTGTTTATACTTATAGCACATCTCAGTGTGGACCAGTGGCATTTCAAATGTCCGATAGCTATGAATGGCCAATAGCTGTGATATTAAACATGTAGGTTTAAGTCTTTGTTTATTACCTGCATATTGTCAAGAATGCCAACCTAGTTTGACTAACCAAGAGTTAGTTTAGAAGATGCCTTGGAATAGTGGTCCTGGTTTGTGGGAGACTTAGGAATCTTTTTAAGAAGGCAATTCTCTTCTAGTCTTTTTTTCATGGGGTTAAAATGCATTTAAGACCATATTGTTTTGCCTTTTTCTTCAAAGTTCCTAGAAAAGAATATTTAGTCTTTTTTGGTAATGCACATCAATTTCTACTTTCTAAGTAGAATGTCTCTTTTGCTGCCATCATATCCCTTTGTAGACTTCTAGTAGTTGTTACTGATTAACTCTGTAGTATTTCCTATACTTTAACTTCCTCTGGATTAAACAAATCTAGATCTCTTATTTGTTTGACCTATTTTCAACTTTAAGTAATAAAAGGTGTTACTTGATTTTGAAGCCTTGTAGCAAAGCCCCACATGGAAGATTGTCAGCTCATCAGATTTGCTCATGTTTTGAAGCGTGATTTTTTTACTCCATTTAGAATTTCCTTTTATTTTAATTCCCTTACTTGTATAAAGTGTTCATTTGTCATAAAGACAAATGGATTCTATGTGATCAGGACACTCCTGCCTTAAATCAAATTTCAGTCTTTACTAGGGCCCTAGTAGAACAGAATATATTTGCATTTTCTGGAAATAACCAAGTTTAGAACTCCATCCACAAGTCTAGTCATGGATATCTCCAGTATTTTTTTCCTGCCCTGTGTCCTCTGGGATCCTTCAACATGGCTGTGTTGCAAATATGTTTACCCCTAGAACTGGTAGTTAAGGCAAATCCTCTGAATAATTATTTTTCTTTGCTGAGTCAAGGATTAAATGCTACCAGCATTGTCTTCTCTGCTTGATGTTTGTGGAATCTTCCTATTTCTGAGTAATGTCAGATATATTTGAGAATGCTCTTAAGAACTTCCATCCAAGATGGAGGCATAGGTAGATAAACTTTCACTCCTTGTACAACCAAAAGAAGGATAACAACAAATTTTAAAACAGAAAATAACCAGAACTGCCAGAAAATTCAATTATATAGAAGTTCAACAACCAGGGAGTTAAAGAAGAAACATTCATCCATATTGGTATGAGGAGCAGAGACAGGGGTCAGGGTGGAGAGGATGCATGACAAGGCATCAGCTGGAGGACCAGGCGGATGAGGTGGTGGCTGGCGGAGCAGGCAGTCTCACATTTGCATGTGGCTAAACTGGGAGGAACAGCTTGGGAGCGAGATAGACTGTGCCATCCAGGGTTCCAGTGCAGGAAAAGAAACCCTCAAAACCTCTGGCTGTAAAAATCTGTGGGGGTTGCAGGGACAGGAGAAACTCCCAGCCTCATAGGGGAGTCCATTGAAGAGGCCCACAGGGTCCCAGAATGTACACAAACCCACCCACCCATAAATCAGCACCAGAAGGGCCCAATTTACTAGCAGGTAGCAAGGGAAGTGACTGAAAGTCTGCTGAGAGCTGAGCTAGTGGCATTGTTCCTTCTCGGACCCCTCCCCCACAGACAGTGTCACAACTCAGTGACCTGGGTTGCCCCATTCTGGTGAATACCTAAGGCTCCACCCCTTCCAACATAACAAGTGCAATGAGACAAAGAAATGTGGCCCAAATGAAAGAACAGATCAAAGCTCCAAAAACAGAACTAAGCAATGACCAGATAGCCAAACTATCAGATGCACAGTTCAAAACACGAGTAATCAGAATGCTCACAGAAACGGTTGAGTATGGTCACAAAATGAAGGGAAAAGTGAAGGCTACACAAAGTGAAATAAAGAAAAATATACAGGGAACCAACAGTAAAGGGGAGGAAACTGTGACTCAAATCAACAATTGGGAGCAGAAGGAAGAGATAAACATTCAACCAGAACAGAATGAAGAAACAAGAATTCAAAAAAATGAGGAGAGGCTTAGGAATCTCTGGGACAACTTTAAATGTTACAACATCCTAATCATAGGGGTGCCAGAAGGAGAAGAGAAAGAGCAAGAAATTGGAAACTTATTTGAAAAAATAATGAAGGAGAACTTCCCCAACCTGGCCAAGGAAATAGACTTCCAGGAGATCCAGCAAGCTCAGAGAGTCCCAAAGAAGTTGGACCCAAGGAAGCACACACCAAGGCACATCATAATTACATTACCCAAGATTAAAGATGAGGAGAGAATCTTAAAAGCAGTGAGAGAAAGGAGAGAGTACCTACAAAGGAGTTCCCATAAGGCTATCAGCTGATTTCTCCAAAGAAACCTTGCAGGCAAGAAGGGGCTGGAAAGAAGTTTTAAAAGTCATGAAAAACAAGGACCTATACCCAAGATTACTCTCTCCAGCAAAGCTGTAAATTAGAATGGAAGGGCAGGTAAAGCGCTCCCCAGATAAGGTAAAGTTAAGGAGTTCATCATCACCCAGCCGTTATTATATGAAATGTTAAAGGGACTTATCTAAGAAAAAGAAGATCAAAAACTATGAACAGGAAAATGACAAAAAACTCACAACTATCAACAACTGAACCTGAAAAAAACAAAGCAAACAACTAGAATAGGAACAAAATCACAGAAACAGAGATCAGAGGGGAGGGGAAGAGGGGAGAATGGGGGAAAAGGTACAAGGAATAAGCATAATTGATAGGCATGAAATATATAGGGGGAGGTTAAGAATAGTGTAGGAAATGGAGAAGCCAAAGAACTTACATGTATGACCCATGGACATGAACTAAGTGGGGAGAGGAAATGTTAATGGGTGGGGGATAGTGTGGAGGGGAATAAAAGAGACAAAAAATAATTAATAAAATGTATTAATATAATATATTTATATTAATTAAATAAAATATATTTAATTAATATAAATATATTTAAAAATGAATTCTTTTTTTTAAAGTTGACAAGTTTATTCTGCAAATGAGAAAATCATATACATTTTAATTATTTTCAAGCCTAGCTTAACTGCAATAATATAGAAGTTTTAAACTCTAGTATATGTCAATATTTTATAGTTGGTGATTTTTTAAATAACTGGAGTTCATTAGGTATTTTGAAGTCAGAATAATTTAGAGTAGTGTTAATTTTTCTATATCTTACAAAATAAATTTGAAAATATTTTTCCCTTGGGTAGGGGTAGAGTGACATGACCATGTTATGGTTATATTTCTGAAGATACATAGCACAAAAACATAAAGAAAATTTCAGTACCTGAAAGAAAAATGTTCTATTTAAAATAAATTTCACCACGTGTTTAATTTTAAGTAATTTAACAATAGCTTTTATTTTTATTTCAAAGTTTAATAACTTTCAAGAAATATAGTTAAGCTCTATAAAAAATGAATTCTTTTAAGTCCCTTGAAAGGGGGAGCATGAGCAATAGTATAAAAACATAAGTGAAGGCACTTTATTTTTTATTTAAAAATTCTTACCCAAGAACATTTTATTGATTTTTAGAGAGAGGAAGGTGGAGGGGGGAGAAAGATAGACAGAGACATTGATGTGAGAAACATTTATCGGTTGCCTCCTGTACACATCCTGACCATGGATTGAACCTGCGACCCAGGTATGTGCTCTGACCAGGAATCGAACCGACAGCCTTTTGGTATATGTGGGATGATGCTCCAGCTAACTGAGCCACCTGCTCAGAGCAAGTGTATGTACTTTAAATGGAAGAACATTGATGATTGTTAAGGAATCCTCCAGTGAAAAGAAAACAGCATTCATTTAAGTCCTTAAAGTGGAGTGTTGTGTGTATTATTAGGTGCTTTGTGTTCCTAAAAATGTCTTACTTCTTGAAATGATGTGTTTTATTAAGGTAATTACATAAAGTGCCTGAAACAATGTACTGTACACAATACAATTTTATAATGGATCAGAATTTAAGCTCACAGGATGTTATACATCTGATCATTTTGATGAAAAATCAACTTGAATTATGCAAACAGTTTTATTTAAAATTTTTTTCAAATCCTTTGGACTTTGAGAATCATTACAATGATGTCAACAATGTATCATTTTCTCTGTAAGCCTTTATCTCTTTTATGGTCTTCAGTGGAACAAAATGCATAGCAGGGGTCTCTGACCTTTTGGTGTCTCTGGGTCACACTGGAAGAAGAAGAGTTGTCTTGGGTCACATATTGAATAAATTGTGACACGTAATCACAAAAAAACTCATAATGTTTTAAATAAATTTACAATTTTGTGTTGGACCACATTCATAGCCATCCTGAGTCACATGTGGCCTATGGGCCACAGGTTGGACACCCCTGTAGCATGTTTTACATCCTTGCTGTCTTTTAGTTAATTTTGAGATGTTGGCTTCTATCACCAACATGGGAAGCTCTCTGTTAGCTGGAGGGATGTTGGAATACAAATAAACTGCTAAATATCT